AAGCTGTCTTCCCCGTTCATCACTTTACAGTTGAAGCTGTCCTGCCCATTCATCACTTTACAGTTGAAGCCGCCGCCCTGACCAAAGTCCTCGTTCTGCACGCCAAGGGAACCATTGTAATTAAAACGCAATCCCATATCATAACAGTTGTTTATATTCTCCTTAGTCCTATTCAAACACATCATACCGTCACTGTAAAAATTCGATCCACCCCTCACATGTTCATATGTAGTGGTATTTGAATCAAAAAAGGAGTTCTCTGGGTACTCTTTTTTTTTTTTTATGTTGTTGAAAAAGTAGTTTTCCGCCTGTACGTTCAGGTGATTATAACTGTCCATTTCATTCAGCATCGCAAGTTGCACGTTCGCATGCACGTTCGAGTTCACGTTCTCATCCACATTCGCGTGCACACTGCCTTTGTCTAATTTGTTCATGCTCCCAAAGCTGTTAATAAAATGATTCGTGCTAGGGAGGAACACATTTTCTGCGGGGGGAAATCCATTTTGTTCATATTCACTGGACAGCTTCGCTTTGCCCAGGTGGTCCCCACACGCCGCGTCAACTCCACTCATCGCGTCCACGCCGTTGAACCTGTACGTAAAGAACTTCGAAGGGACATCCTCCCCCTGAGGTACAAAATTATTATCATCATAGGTGAACTCCCTGCATGAGACCTGATCTCCCATTTGTGCATATTGTCCGCTCTGAACGAATTCTCCATTTGGGGTAAATTCCACGTTGGCAAATTTTTCTCCTTTCGTGGCTCCGCCTTTTTGGCCATCTCTCTCTGCGGGGGGGTGAAAAGGTAAGGAGGAGGGTGTGTGTGTGCATCAGTGGCCAGTTAGCGTGGACGCTAACAATGAGAACGGGTGACGTAAACGAGGTGACCCACGCGGGACGTACCGGCTTTCCCACTCCCCTCGAGCAGATACTCACTGTACGTCTTCTTCGCATGACTTTTTAAAAAGTTAAAAGTCTTTGCATGCGAACACGGTGCGTCTTCTGCAGCTTCTTCCAAATGGCTCATTCCTGCATAGCGGGTTCTATTCTTATCAGGGGCAGTTTCCTCCTGGTCCTTCACGTTATACATGTTGCTCTTCCCATTGAGGGGTTCTCCTCCGTTGATGTTAGCATTGCATTTGTCCCCATCGTTGCTCTCCCTTTCGTCTCTCTTCTTATTAGATTTTCGTTTATAAAACATGGGCTCGTCTCCTTCCTCCTCGACATCCCCCTCATCATTATACATTCTGTTCATTAATTCACTGCTAGAAAACTTCACGGAGGGGTCCAGCTGGTTTATGTTGTGGGCCATTGGACATTTGTCCGCCTTGGCGCAGTATCCTTCGAATTGGCAAAAAGGGGGGAAAAAAGCACACACGAGGGTATATGAACAGAAGTGTCAACATGGGCGGAGGACTTCCACCAACCCGAACTAGACACAAAAAAATAATGTAAATGTCAAATAATATATACACCAAATTCACATAAAAAGGCAATAAAAGGCAATAAAAGGAAAAAAAAGGAAAAAAAAAAAAAACGTACCATCTAAGAAGTATTTGGTGCATAATCTAAGAGCCTTTCCGGATCCTCGCAGTTCTTCCTCTGTGTGCGCAAATGTGCATTTTGATGCTTCACAATAACTGCCTGATAAAAATGTATAGCACATTCTTGTCTGCGAGCAGAGGGGAGAGAGAGGAAAGTGGTGATGGCGTCCTCATGAAAAAACAAACCCATGGGAGCACGAATGAACCTGCATTGAAAAAGCTAGTACCTTGTAAAATTTGGGCATGGGTCTGACGTCCAACTCACCATGAGCCCAACTACACTTGTTCCCTCTAGCACAGATTCCCTTCGCGTAAAAGGAACACAGTTGTGTTTTGTAAAGCCTACAAGGGGGGACAGGGGTGAGGGAGAAGCATTACACACGTAACACATGTGTGCGTCTACACAATGAGCAACAAGGTTACGCATCACGTGGTTTTAAAATTCATATTTCGTTTATTTTATACACCTACATTTTTACTGCAACGAGAGGGGGGGGGGTGTAAACAGAAAGGGGTGGTTGCGTTTCTTCCTCGCTGGGCTGTTGCGTCTGGGTCTCTTCCACACCTTCTTGTCGTTAAAGCGTAGCAGCGGCGTGGAGGGACAGAAAAAAGGAAAAGGCCACTTGCTTACTGCGGGACGAGACCGTTATATATGTATTTTGGTAGGTATGCTCTTCAGCGTATCGGTCCTTACGTGCTCTGATGGAACATCGCCGAGCGAGCTTCTTTCAGTGCACCCTCAAATTGTGAACACATGAAAAAAAAAGGGCTCTGTTTCGCCGTGGAAGAAATGCACAGCAAGCAGTGAGAGCACTGAGCAGTAACAATTAGCAACAGAGCAGACCGATACAAACGAACGGCGTCGCGAGGATCACAAAATGGGTCGAAAACGTGTCTACACAAATCAATTATTATACACACGTGCACTATTAAAACAAACTGCACTTAAAAGACATTGAAAATGATCATTTAATGTGTCATTTCACTGACCAAAAAAAAAAAAAAAAAATACGCGATGGAAATGTGAGTACACAAAAAAGGGCAACTACACACAAGCAACTCTGCCTAATACACGCTTTAAAAAAAGGGGCGCGCCTGCACGAGGGGAAAAAAAAAAAAAAAATTATATACATATATATATATTTGCATGTGTAACCCCTTCAACATTAGGCACGTTAAAAACCCGTGGCACAATTGATAAGGAGCAAGGAACGGGGAATACCAAAAAGGAGAGGATACTCCTTTTTTTTTATTTTAAAAAAAACGGTGGTTTTCATGCTCAGTGGAATGAGTCGGTGAGGCCGTAAATGCGGGTAACATGCAGGGGTGTATCTACTCATATATATGTGTAGATTTTCCTGGGCGCGTTTGTTGATTGCTCTTTTTTTTTTTTTTTTTTTTTTTTTTTCAATTTTTTTTTTTTTTCCCCCCCCCCCTTTTTTTTTTTTTTTTTTTTTTTTTTTTCTTGCATTT